TTTGTTGCCAATTGAAAGTGAAAGTCTTTTTAACAGTATCCTTTCAAACAAAGAAATGGGATTCCTCCGCCATTTTTTTTCCTCCTCTCTCCTTTTATTAAAATAATGAGTGGAGAAGGTATTAATTCTTTTTTGAGTTAAAGTTCCAAAATATCACAATTCTGATCCTCCTGAACAGCTCCGTCTGCTTTTGATTTTACTCAGAATTCTCTTTAAGCAGCAGATGTGGAAGCAGCGTCTAGCTTCGTTCCGAAGAACAAAGGCATACTGGGATGCGGAGATGATCCAGACTCTGAGGGAGTTTTCTCACCCTTCATCTCCCCAAAGAATTTTTGGGAGACTAGAGGAACTCGACCTCTATCTGGAAAAACTCACCTTCTTCCCTTCTCCCTGGAAGGTTCCAAGCCTCAAAACAGCTGATGATCGCTGTTTTTACTGGCTTTTACACATTTCTAAGTGGTATTTCTTGATTAGGTATTCTTTGGTCTTCTTGTACTTCAGTTTCTTTTCTTTCATCTGTTCTAGCTTGCTTGCTGATCTTATTTTCTAGTCTAACCTTCCATTTTTCTGGTGCACTGTTTGTTTGTTTTTCTTCTTTGTTGATTTTGCATCCCAGGTATTCAGTTATAACTGCAGCTGTGCTGTACATTAGTTGGTTTGTTTCTTGCAGTGAATTGGTGCTTATACTTGATATTGCAGTATTTGCATCTTTTAATGCTTGTGCTGGCTGTTTCTTTGGAACAAGCTTCAATGCAGGCAGCCTTATTCTGTTGTTTTTGTGCTGTTCCAGATGCTCAGTTATTCTCTACAAGTCCACCAAATTTATGACTCACCATATTTTTTTATGGGAGAGACACTCTTTGTCTGACTCCTCTGATAAGACCTGTCCAGTATGGTTGAACCTCTGTCATAGCTCTCATCTGTCTCAGAGTACACATGCCCCACAACCACGACAAGGTAGTGCCTCACTGGGGGATTATCATCATCATCATCATCATCATTATTATTATAAACTATTTTCCAAAGCACCCGCATGCAAGACAAGAAGCAATGGTTGGAAACTAACCAAGCAGAAAATCAACCTAGAAGTAAGAAGAAATTTCCTAACAATGAGAGTAATCAGCCAATGGAATAGCTTGCCTTCAGAAGTTTTGGGTGTTCAATTACTAAAGGCTCTCAAAAGAGATTGGATAATCATTTGTCTGAAATGGTATAGGTTTGAGCAGGGGGCTGGACTAGAAGACCTCCAAGGTCCCTTTCCACTCTATTATTCTATGGTGCATGGTCTATGAGATCAGGAGCAGGAGGAAGGAGTGAGCAGCTAACAGTTGACTAGTGGTTATCCCAGATTAGAGAGTTCCATTAGTAAAATAAAAAAAAAATCTATCTTGCAATTGCTCAAATGTTCCCTTCTGCTATAAGAAGAGATACTTTTCTTAAGGAGTGAAATATTTTCTCTCTAAATATTCTTGTATTGGTTTAAAATCCCCTTCTTAATGTAAATAGCAGTGGGTTAGGGTTAAGGTTACTGCTGGTTTTGTGGCTTTCTCTTAGTGTGAAAAGGCCCCTTAGGCAGAGGTTCCTCATTTTATCTCATTTGGGATAGGACTGAAGTGTCACCTGCCATGGATTTTATAGAATCAGAGAGATAATTTTAAAGTGAAACACAAGACATTGCCCCCATACTCCTAGTGACTTACAACATAATGCCTCTCTTCACAATATTATGAATTAGTTATGCAGTCAACATCATCTTAGATGCAAACTAAATACGGCTACCCAATATTTTCCTAGAACATAATTGTGGGCTGTCACATGGGGGAAGTATGTATTTATGTACAGTAGCAACAGGCTTAGTTCCTTGGATCACCAGGAAGAGCCAGTAGGTATAGGAATTTCTCATTCTTCCGTTAGACTCTTTTATTCAGCTGAATAAGAAGGGCTAGAGAAGATAGGAGAACATTTCTCCTTTCTTCTCCCTGCCAGTGATAGAACTGGAGTTAGAAAGGGCTCTTTGCTTTGAGGGTGGAGCCCATTTCTGTGGACTCTCCCCTGACAACCTTGCCCTCACATACAGTGAATATTAGTGGGTCAGTGAGACTACAAAAGGCAAAACTAGCCGCTCTGGAAAAAAAGTCAATTATTAATAATGTAATTCTTTGCTCAAGAACCACAGGGAGCAGGTAGAGGCCAGCTGTATTTCTAAAAGTGCATTGAAGTCTAGAAATAAAGTTGAGCTCCTGGTATTACCCCAGAAATGGTCAATTATCTTGTGTAATGAGTACTGTATGTGCAGAGAGGGAAATGAGGACATCTCAGGGACAAACTGACATGTTGTTTAACAATAAAGTGTCAAGCTATGAAGATCCCTTGCTTCAGAACTGCCACAATGCTTCTAGCTTGCCTACAGTCTGGGGGGAGGGGGAGAAGGTTTAGTACGCACAGGTGGTTGCTATCAGTGTGAGAGCCAAGGTCATTGAAGAGATGTTTTGGCAAATTGAAGTTTTCTTCTCAAACAATGTGACCTGAACTGTCAGAGAGGGGAGGGAAGGTTTTACGCTTTTAATTAACTTTTCCTTGCCATATTGTCAGACCTGGTATTCTTTCTACTGTACTGATATGCTATGCCTACTAAAGCTTTACATTAGAGATCACAATGTGTCTGATGGATTTAATTTGTTGGGCTTTTTTAACCAGAACCTTGACATAAAATGAAATAAGGTAAAGAATACTGTTCTGTTTTCTGCTTGGTTCAGCATTGAAAAGGCAGCAGTAGTAAACCACTTCTTTATTGAAAGTCAAAACAGAAAACTAACAAGCATGGCTCCGCCCCTATTTATACATTCAGCTTTGGGCAGCATCAGCCAATGAATGCACTGTATTCTCCCACTCAAATGCATACTAATCAACCTTGCAGACAGCAAGTCTGGCTAGCAAGCCAGTGGTCTGCTAACGGTCCTTGCACAGATCTCTGCAAATTGTTCCATAAGTTTAACACAATACATTACAAATAAAATAATATTCACCATATTATAACCATATTATGATGCCGTTATGCACCTAGTGATAGTGATAGATCCATATTAAATATTTCAACATTTACCTGAAACATAATTGCGGGCTTCCAGCTGTCAGAAGTAAGTCTTCATCCTGGTTCATCCAAGCCAGGAATAAATACAGTAGGCAACATGGCAGAAAGATGGTCCTTGCAAGGAGCAGAGCGGAAAGAGAGAGATTGAGCACATGGGCAGTAGGTTTTATATCCCCTCTAACCTTGTTTGGAATGGTTTCCTGTTCCTGGGGCATGAACTTTGAGGCTATTTCTTGAGGCTATTTCTAGGCCTTGATATCTGTGGTTTAATCCTATTATCATATCCTGCTTCCCAGGTGATGGGGCTTATGACTCCTAGAGTTTGGGTGGGACATGCAGATTTTCTTTGTCTTCTTGATTGCTCTGGCTTCAATTCTCTGATGGTTTTACATCTGCATTTGTATGGGGCTAAAGCAGTGGTTCTCAACCTGTGGGTCGGGATCCCATTTGGGGTCGAACGACCATTTCACGGGGGTCGCCAAACAAGGCTGTCTGCCATTTTTTCCCCCTTTTCTTTGGCCACGCCCCTGGCACCTGGTGATGTATAAGTGGTTGGGGGTCACCACAACATGGGGAACTGTATTAGGGGTCGCGGCATTAGAAAGGTTGAGAACCACTGGGTTAAAGTCTTGCTTGGGGCAGAGAGATACTGTAGATTTGGGACCAGGTTTGTTTTTAAAAAGTCCTTTTGAGGAAAAATATATTTTTCTGCCCTCTTCAATACCTTTCTCTCTGGGCTAACTTCCCTCACAGCTGAGGGAAGTATGTATTTACCTGTTGTTGCAATAGACTTGGTTATCTGAATCATCAGAAATATTGAGTAATTACAGGAATTCCACACAGACTCTTTTATTCAAATGAACGAAAACCACTAAAGGAGATGGGAAAAAAAAACATATTGAGGTGTATTAGGCTACCCCACCTCCTTTGAACTCCATGCTGTGATAGCATTGATTTGAGAAAGGACCCTAAACATGAGGGATAAGGATAAAAGTGGAAAAGGGAAATCTAGCTGATTTCTGTGTTACTTGTACCCTGCCTATGTTGCATTAAAAGGCTAATAAAGAATGGATATATGTAACCTATTGGTCCTAGACTTACTCTGGTAATTACTATTTGTATTTTAATAATTATTTTCAGTGAAGTCTGATTCATAGCTGAGATTTTAATATTTAATAGGATGATTTATGCCACAATTTAAGTATTTATATTTCCTTATAAATTTAGACATTGTAATAAAAGAGAAGTAGAAAGTGTATGAATGAAAGTTGAGAATGGGGGAATTAAATAGGTTCAGGTTTGTATTGATAGTGGTTCTGCAAATTATGTCTTCACCTGTGTACATTGTTAGATCACACCCCTTTATTAACATAGGTATAATAGTGTCCACAATAGTATCCCTCACATGTTGGCTGTGTTTGTCTACATCAGGTCCTATGTGATTCACCCTATGTGATTTTATTGTGTAGTCTATCTATTCATTTAAATGGTATCTAAAATCAATTTCATAACAAAAAGATTGGGCCAGGAAAGGATCCTCTCTCTCTTGCGGATTTCGTATTGTTACATCTTTATTTCCTTTATCAAGATCCAGACTGTGCTGAAATTAAGTCATCAGGCAAAGTCATTCTTATTCTAAGTTGCATCCAATGGTATTTAACTTAAGAAATAGCTTAAATTTGATTTTATACTATTCCTGCCCATGCAACTACATTCACTGGAAGACATCAATGGCAAAGTTATTGCTACAATAAATAAACTGAAAGGGAAGAATGAAATTATAGCATAATATGTGATTGAAGAGCAGGCAACATCCCCACCCTCTCTCTCATATACCAGTAGTCACAGGAATATACTGCTCCCAGGTACTTTTTAAAGAAATTGCACAATGTCTGCAATGCTCATTTAGCTTTATTTCAAGAAATATTTGCCAAATTTTATTTCAATGCACAAATGTTTTAGAGTTTGATGGGTAGCAATTTGATTTATATAAAGAAAGATAAAGCAATAGAAGGCGATAATCTCAGGTCATTGGCCATATCTTGAAGATATCCATGGTCGTAGATGGAGATGGCATTATTTTCCAGGTCACCTATACAAATGAGAAAAAATAATAAGTTGATCAAAGTGAGTTTAAAGTAAATTCTTTGCTTTTCAAAGCTTTGTGAATGCAAATAATATTAGGCAGAGAATCTCATTATGTACTGTATCTGTAGTATTTCTATTAGAGGAGAGTTTTCTTACTTTTTACAGCACCACGTTTCGAATGGACAGTTGATCTTTCCAAGGCCAGTGCCAGGACGACACTTGTACCGGCAGCGTCCTCCTGCATGACGACACATGCGCTGGGCATTCCCTATGAAAAGAAAAAGAGGAGACAGGTAAATGATGAGTAAAGATTCCTTAATATTTAAATACATTTTTCCTTCCAAGACATTACCTTCTTCTACAGAATTGCAGGATTCCTTTATCAATTTATAATTTTATTCATTTATAACATAAAAATATGAAAATAAAAAGCAAATAATAGGAACAACAATAGGGAAAGAGGAAAAAGGGAAATGTGGAAAGGGGTGGAAAGAAACAAAAGGCGTTGACTTCTGATTCCTCTGTTGCTGTAAAGTAAGGCATTAAAATTGAATCTCAACTTTTTACATTTCTGTAGTAGTATGAACTAGCCATTTCTCTATCATTTTTTTCCACCTCAAGCACAAAGTCCAGAAGCAGTTTCTAAGTGCAAACAAAAGTACTTATATTCTTTTCTTTTATCAAAACAGTCAGTTTAGCCATCTCTGCTAACCCCATCAGATTTTGTAACCATTCATCCAAGTTGGAAATGGAAACATCCTTCCAAGAATTGCAGGATTCCTAGGACTAGAGCAAGTTTTCTCTGACCACAGAGATCCATCTCTGCTGATCTCCTGCAGCAGCTCAAATAAATCAGCTATTAACCCAGGTTTGAAATCTGATTCAGAGATGAATTAACTGGTAAGCCTGCATCTATTAATGTAGGAGGGAAGAAATAGTCTGGTTCACATGAAGGATAGACCTTGCTGTGATATATTTCTCTCTGGTATTGCCATGGATTCTTGCTGAGTTACAGTGGCCAGTTGCATTGTGTGTTTTGGATGAAAACCTTGAGTGAGAAGGTTTAACTTCTTTTAAACTTTAGGAGCTGGTTTTCCCTTTGGCTTCCTCCCTCTTCTCTTAATGTTTCTATCACTGCTCTTTTCTGCTCTTGAAATGCTGTGCATTTATGATATTTTGCTGCAATTTCTTCTCTTTTCCCCAATTAAATACAAATATATTCACTAGATCATTAATATCTTTTATTTTTCCCATTTTTATTTTTTAAAAATAACTCAATGTATCTAATAATCCTTCCTCCTCCTTTTCTCTCCATAACAGCAATGCCATCAAGAGGTTTGGAGAGAGAGAGAGAGAAGGGGGGGGGGAGGGAGGGAGGGGGAGGGAGGGACTGGTCCAAATTCACTCAGTCAGATTTCAAGATGGGACTAGAACTCAGTATCCAGAATTGTAGTGTTTTGCTCTAATCACTAGATCAAACTGTTTCTCCATTGTGCCTCCTTATTCAAATAGAACATATTTGGCTGAGAATTTGATAAACCAATACTAAAGTGAAGCAAATCAACAAAAATAAGCTACAATAACAAAACACCCAATAAAGTTCTTTCAAGAATTGTGAATCAAAAGAAAAATCAATGGTATATTTTTCAAATGTTTGGAGTCTATACTGTCTAAAGCTATATCTGTAAAGTAAAACAAAAAGATGTTGAAGATTACCCTACTTTCAGTGATGATCACACTTGTTTAAAAAGGAGTGAGTTACCAATCCTTTGTAAATTATCAGTAATTTTGTTTTTTACCTGGTTCAGACAGGAATGCAAGGAAAAGAAATGAAAACAGCAGGTAAAGGATCTTCATGCTGAGACTGGTTCTGGATCAAACCTTACTCCTGGAACAGACATGGCTCTCTATTTATGCAGTTGTAATGATTGCATCATATCACTTCAGTGAACTATTGCAAAATAGTTTTTGCAATGGTGCATCTTCCTTGTATTGAAACACTCCTGTTTGTTAGCTGTTACAAAAGCCCTTAGAAGAGCAGCAGACTTAGTTGAACATCCAACCTGCTATGGTTATAAAAGATTGGAGGCTCAGGATTTGCAGTGTCCTAATGGGGCAAAGAAAATTCTTTACTGAATTGCTGCCCAGACTCTACAGTCCACGATGATAGTGCTCGGCTATGTTCACTAATGGCTGGAGTTTGGGAAGAGCCCTTAGAACCAAGTGGTAGAAATCTGGAGTTGGCACTGCTATCATGGGTGACACATATTTATGGGTGGGTTTTGGGAAAACAGCTGCTCTGCTTCTTGGTGGGTCTATCATGTCCCCCTCGTCCTTTTCTTCATTAAACTAGACATACCCAATTCCAGCAGCCATTCCTTATATGCTTTAGCCTCCAGTCCCCTAATTATCTTTGTTGCTCTTCTCTTTCTAGAGTCTCAACATCTTTTTTACATTGTGGTGACCAAAACTGGATGCAGTATTCCAAGTGTGGCCTTACCAAGGCATTGTAAAGTGGTATTAACACTTCACATGATCTTGAATCTATCCCTCTGTTAATGCAGCCTAGCACTGTGTTGGCCTTTTTGGCAGCTGCAGCACATTGCTGGCTCATATTTAAGTGATTGTCCACTAGGACTCCAAGAATGCTCTCACAGTTACTGCTATTAAGCAAGGTACCACCTATGCTATACCCATACATTTGTTTTTTCTTGCCTAAATGTAGAACCTTGCTTTTTTCACCATTGAATTTCATTTTGTTAGATAGTGCCCAGTGTTCTAGTCTTTGGGACACAGAAGATTAACTGAAATTGAGAAGGAGAGCTGGGTTCCAAAAGCTGTGAGTGTTGGTTACATTGAATGTTTCCTGCTGCTTCAGCTACAAAGGATCTTATGGGGGCCATATTTTTTATTACTTATCTCTAAATTTCAGTGGTGAGAACAATATGGCTTTACACTTAGGCAAGAAAAAATGAATGGATAGGTATAGAATAGGTGATATGTGGCTCAATAGCATTAACTGTGAGAGTTTGGCTCCAGAAGTTTTGGGTGCTCCATCACTGGAGGTTTTAAAGAATAATTTGGAAAGCCATTTGTCTGGAATGGTCTAGGGTTTCCGGCTTGAGCATGGGATTGGACTAGAAGGTCCCTTCCAACTCGGTTATTCTGTAAGTTCTGTTGGTTCTGAGGTGTCGCATCCAGTTGCCATGGATGCTGTAGAGATTTAGAGATGATTTCATAGTGAAGCCCAAGCATTTCCCCATACCCTGAATAAAATTAAAATTAAAATCTGTTTTCACAAAACAAAATACTCAGATTTAGTTATATATAAAATCATCCTAGTTTCACAAACTAAATATGACTTTTCAACATTGCCTATTTTTCAACATCTTTTTCTCTTCTATCTTTTTTTCTTCTCCCAGTCTGCGATACAATTGCTCTGAGAAAGGATCCTTAGAGTGAAGGATGAGAAGAAGAATAGAAAAAAAAAAACTACTGAAAGATTTAACAATTTCTGTATTAGATGCAGAAAAATAATACAGAAAATGTTAAGTAATGTTAAGATGCAAAGAATTGCTGCAGTGAAAAACCATACTTGGAGGGTCCCTCAGGGAGTCAAGTATTGAGCCTGGTTGTTGGTGAGCAATGGATTGAAAGTTCCCGGCAATGAGTGGAAAAGGTGGCTATTGAGCCACATCTCCTAAGCTTTGTCTTGAAGGTTGGAGCCAATTTCTGTGAAGTCTGATCAAATAGCCTTGATACAGGACCTCATAGAAGATGAACATGCAAAATTAGAAATCAATTAACCACAGGTACACTAAATAGTAGGAGACCAGTGAGACTGAAAATGGTAAAATTGGCAGGCCTAAAAAAAAAGGAAATCAATATTTAATAATGTGGTTCCTTGCCCAAGAGACACAGAAAGCAGTTAATGAGGAAATTGTGGAAGTCAGCTGCATCAACAAAAGTGCCCTGAAACCTTGGAATAATGTCAAACCTCTGCTATTCTCCAAGAAACGGACAATTACTTTGTATAATGAGTGGGTGCAACAACAGTAATGAGGAAACCACAGATGGAAACTCACTTGGTGTTTAGTAATCAAATTAACTAAGGTAAAGAATAATAAAATAAGTAGAGACTATTACTTAAATTTAGGTTTAGAAATAATTGAGGAACACTGTTTGAAAAGAAGCTGCTTAAATTTCTGTGTGAAGAAGTTGATACTGTTCAGCAGTTGTTAGAAAGACATTTGAATTTACCAGGGCTTTCATTTATTCATAGTTATGGCATTTTGTTGTTTGGGATGAATAGTTAGGCTTGAGAGAAGGAACATTTTAATTTCAGTTATCTCAGTTAACTCAGTTATCTCAGACAGAAGTACCACAAATTCCTTTCAGTATTTCAGAGGAGGTTAGCTTGGTTGATTTAAAAATACCATTGAGGGATTACAGTGTGGAAGCAGGATATGTGAAATGTCCTCATGAAGTTTTGCTTCACTTTCCATGTGGCAAGTTAACTGAGATAACTGAAACTAAAATGTTCCTTCTCTCAAGCCTAACTATTAGTCCCAAACAACAAATTTCAGACAAATGGTTATCTAATCTCTCCTGTTTCTCAGCGTCACTCAATCTTTCATCCATGACAAACAGCAAGTGTAATCCTAACGCATCTTTTTTTTTATCATCTTGCAATAATTTATATTTAATTTGGGGGTTTGGGTATGGTTTCTTTGCCACACAAACTTGTAAAAATCTTTTGCCATTGTTCAAATGGTACCTCTATTGTCAATATCAGTATTGTCCAAATTAAATAATAACAATCCATGCAAAACATTGTTCTTGAATACCAAAATTATGCACAGCAGTCACAGTTGTAATTTATCTCATCTCAATACATCTTTTTAATATTAATTCATTACCTTAGCATAATTATTCAGAAATAATATTATACTAATATTAAAAATAATATACGTGAAAACCTCCACCACTTCAGGTTTTTAAGAAAAGATTGGATGGCCAGTTGTCTGGAATGACATAGGTTCTCCTACTTTAACAGCAGGTTGGACTAGAAGACCTCCAAGGTCCCTTCCAACTCTGTTAAGCCTCCTCTTTATTCTGCTAAAAGCAGGTGACCCGCAGACATGATGAGAACATGTCTTGTAGAGTCTGGAGAAAGGGGGATTTTAGCCAGAGTGCAGTTAACGCAAATAGAGAAACACCCACACTAGCTCCAGACATTTTTGAATGACATTTATAAACTGTTTGTTAATTTTTAACCCTTTGCCAGAACAAACTATTATGTTTCAATATGCGGGTGATGTGATTACTCTGAGAAAGAAGATGTTTATAAAGGAGTCAGTGTAGTCTTGAGAAAGACTGCAGACTGAATCAGAACACTATGCCATTTGCTGCAACTGTTACATTTATATATTTAAATTGTTACATTTGCATGGCCATAAAGCTATTTCTCCGTATAGCTGAGGTCTTTATTTAAAAAGTGGTCTATTGCAGACAATACAAAACTCAAGATTTCAATGCCTTAGAGCTCCGGATTATATAAAGGTTTTGATTTCTGTGACATGTGGACAAGTGGATATAAAGTCTGCACTTTTATGGCAGAAAAGAAAATCAACAGACTATTTTAAAAAATGGTGAACAAATCTTCTACATATGGTTTCATCATTGTAAAGAGACACATTTAGCTGAGTCTTTCATGAATATTTTGCATAGTTAACGAATAGGTGCTGAGCATAGAAAGAGTTTTACATTATGCACTATTTTTTTATAAAGCCTGACCAGGAGGAACAAAGTGAGTGCAATTCTTTCCTCATGCCTGAAAATCTATGGAAGATGAAAAATACATAGAAGGCACACAGCCTTTCTGGCAACACTCTTCAAATGACAATCAACTTCTGCAGTCTGAGGATGCTTTAGGTTAAATTCTCTGAGAGTGGAACACAGTACTTTGTAGAAATTTGAAAAATGTCTTTGTGTTTTTTTAAGTTGCATGGTGCTTTCTGCTGCAAGGTGGCTTGTGTTGTATCTGCTTAATGCAGTAAAGAAGCACTATTGCTTTAATGGGCCACTGGGAGGTGCTGGACTCACCCTTCTATACCGCATATTTTGGAATGCAATTTGGGAACATTGCACAGCCCTTCTAACTGACTCCTGATGTAGCCACTGTGATAATCTCATTGTTGAATCATATTTTTATTCTTTCTAATCATTGACTTTATGGTACTGCCTCTGCTCCTTCCAAACTTGTTGAATAATAATAATAATAATTCATCCTTCATCCACGCAGTGACATTGACAGACTTTATCTACCAAGGCAAATAAGTGGGCGTGGAATGCTACAAGTACATCAGATGGTTGAAGAAGAAAAAATGGCTTTGGAAGAATATCTGAAGAACAACGATGAAGATGCACTGAAATTAGTATATCAGGAAGGCTTACTGACTACTGGAGAGACCAAACTGGCCTACAAGAAAGACCAAATGAAGAACAGAATAGAGGCATGGGAAGACAAAGCACTACATGGCCAATACATTAAAAAAATAGCTGGGAAAGCAGATAATAACAAGACCTGGCAATGGCTAAGAGCAGGAAAATTGAAGAAAGAGACCAAGGGACTAATTCTGGCTGCACAAGACCAAGCCTTAAGGACAAATGCATATAAAGTCAAAATTGAGAAGACAGCAATAGACAGTAAGTGCCGCCTCTGCAAAGAAGCTGAAGAAACAGTGGACCACCTGGTAAGCTGTTGCAAGAAGATTGCACAGACTGACTACAAGCAGCTGCATGACAAAGTAGCAACAATGGTGCAT